CATTGATTGCAATTTGCATGAAGCATCTTCTGCTGACAGTAGCCAGATAGTAAAGCTTGATTTGTGAGAGCACCATGTCGGATGCTGAGTCGCCTGACAACGAGTTCTCCATCGAGAAGATTTTTCAGGTGAAACACAAGGGGCATGTGATCACCTTGCCGTCCGACTTGGTTGTGCAAGATGGCGAGCAGCACTTCGTGAAGATCATTGGCAGCCACCGTTCAATTTGCAAACTAGTTTGCCCTTGCACATCTATGGCTACCAAGAACATGTCCATCGCCGGCAGTGCCAACTTGAAGACCTTGCTAGAGTTGCTCTGCAAAGAGTTCAGCCCCAAGCAGACCCAGGATGCAGGACCCGACTTGTTCGACGACAACAAGGAGCCACAGAAGGCCAGCAAGAAAAGAAAGCTTAGTGCAGTCTTGCCTTGCACAATCAAAACTGTCACTTTGCCGAATGGCAAAGAAGCATGTTTCATGATGTCTTCACTGAAGTCCTCTCCGGCTGTGTTGTTGCAGGAGCCAGACATGGTTAATCTTATAGAGTATTTGGCTGAGGATTGTGATTCATGTGCTTGTTCCAGCCGGAGGGGCTATCATGCTACTGGTAAATTTGCCAAGCTGAAGAAATAGTTTTCCGAAAAGCAGGGCATGCAAGGATTGCCTGCTTTGAACCTGTCGGCTGCAGGGGTTCGTGTCGACGGGACAAAACAAGCTTCTTGCCACGTGTGGTTCAATTGGCAACTTCTTGTGGAGCCGGTTCGGCTACTTGTTGCATGTTCTTGAACACCGTGTGCTCACCCCATGCATATTCACATGTACTATATATAGAGCCAGTTGGGCTGCTTGTTGTTTGTTGCTGAGCCAGTTGGGCTGCATGCATGCATGCATGGCATGGCATGACATGTTGCATGGTCCTGTGCATCAGCCAAGGAATGTCCTCGACATCCTGGTTGGCCCTTGGGTGCTGCAGAACGTCGAGGTCAATGATGGCTTGATTCTCAAGAAGCCCGGGTCTCACTGGTATATGTTCTGGTCGAACCAGACCGGGTCCTACCTCGTCGCCGACCACATCGCCGATGAGTCAGTTGCCGGCTGTTGGGATGGTGTGGAAGTGGTGTGCAGCATCGAGGGTGGCGGTGAACGGCGAAGACCAGTGGGATCGGTCTTTTCGCCATGGTGGAATCGTGGTCGCTCGGGAATCGTGCGAGTACGAGGCCAGGGGGCTTGCACCTTTATGAAAGAGTGCATACAGGAGCTGCTCTTCCAGAAGAAAGTCTTGGAGGATGAGCTGCAGCAGGTGAAGCTGCACAATGAGTCGCTGCAGCTGGAGCTTCAAGATGCATCCAAGAGGAGGCGAGTGGGCGAGGCCAGGATGATATCGAAACATTTGGTATCAACCCAAAACTCTCAATTTTTGTAAAACCCCATAAACCCTATATGTAAACCCGGGTTTTCGGAGGTGAACCCTCCGCCGGCACCACGGCCTATGGGACCGTCCCCACCGGCACCACCACGTCCTCCAGCAGGTGGTG